TGAACAAGGACAATCTTTTAAATTTTGAAGATTTTATAAATTTTAAGTATGTATGCTTCATCTATAAAGCGCTACATGGACTAGCCCCACCTCCTGTGTCTACCCTGTTCAAACCTAAGACTTCAAGTGGCCTAAGAACCAGGGCCTCCGCCAGAGGACACTGTGAGGTCCCTCACAGAAGAACAACTTTTGGTCAGAACACTCTCCCCAATAGCCCTCGAAACCCTAGGTGTGTGAGTGTGTTCTGTGTTCAGGAGGCAGACGGGAGAGGGGTAAGGGGATGCAAGCTGTGAGTGATATAACCCCCTCTGGAGAAGGCAGTCAGGCACCCCTGTTGCCCGGGACCCACCACACACCAGGAGGACCCAACCGTCCCGGGCCCCCGCAGCCACAGGGGAGCTACCACCCCCTGGAGGGCACCCAACTGCCACCCCCTACAGGGCCCTTCCAGAAAAAAAGGGGGGAGGGGGGTCAGGTGGCACACACACACAGACACACCTCATGCAGCTGTCATTTAAATCAACCCGGGATGCACAGTTTGAGTCATGCACGAATACTACACTAAAGCCATGTTGACAATTCCTTACAGATCTCCAGCAAGACCTTTTGAACAGTAAAAAGAACAACTAAGCGTTTGCATAATCATTTAGTGTGTTGGCTGTGCAATGTGTGCAGATAATTGAAAATGCAATACCCATCCTGAACATCCTTTGTATTTTGTGAAGAATTTTGTATTGTATAAACTGCAAATTAAGATTTGTAGTCATACTAAAGATGTAGTAATATTGGGTGGTAACTGGACAGAAGAACAGAATCCTTGTTAGTTCATGCTTGGGGATAAACTGCTAATATCCTTCAAATGTAATACTAATTTATGAAAAATTCTTTGGAGAGCTATGAAAAACCATTGGGTCCTGGGGCTTTATTACTAGGCATAAGTTGAAGAGCTTCATGAAGTTCCCCTATTGAGAGACGAAAGTCCAAATGTGTTTTGCAGAAGAGGTCAGTCCACTTTTTCTGCAAATGTGTAGTAAAGCCTTTAGCCTGGGAACACTGCCTCCTACCTTGTGTCAGGCCTTGATAACCCTTATATTAAAGAAAGGCAAGGATACTAATGACTGTAAAAAGTATCGGCGAATCTCTCTGATATCTGATATCAGATATGAAAATACTTTCTAAAATACTCGCAAATCGCCTTTACAGAGTAATGCCCACACTTATACACCCTGAGCAAGTCGGATTTATTTGCAATAGATTCGCTTCTGCTCGAGGTTTCTGCCTCTTAAAAGGAAGTTTTTCCTTGCCTGTGTTGCCTAGTGCAACACGGGCACTGTAAATAACTTCTGAGTACAGTCTGACCTGCTCCTTAGTGCTGTTAGATGGGGCGGGGGTTAGTATAGTGGTGAGTGTCCCCATCTGTCGCATGGGAGATTGGGGTTCAATTCCCCCGATGGGGAGATACAAATATCTATATTCTACTGTAAGTCGCTTTGGATAAACGTGTCTGTTAAATGCATAATCATATAAAATAACTGCTGTTGTGATTTGGTGCTATTTAATCATTTTGGAACTACTCCCAGAAAAAATCAACACAGATATATATAGGTGGTCTCCCCTTTATCTCTCTCTGTGGGTCAAGGTTAGTTAAAGTGGACTGTGTCCCCAAAATAAATTATATGCTTCAATCCCGTCTCATAGATATTCCTACCAAGTACTTTAAACAAATTGATGTACTTTGTAAAAAGTTTTTTTGGGAACCGCAAAAAACCTAGAATGCATCCAAGAAAACTACAAAACCAATAGAAGAAGTGGGTTGGGTCTTCCAAATATGGTGTTTTGTTATTATGCCTTTAGCTTGATACACCTGGCGCTTTCCCCTTAAAGAGCTCCTCCATGGTATTCAATAGAACAATCATTTTGCACATCGTTTCTCCCATGGTTTTTCTCGTCTGCCACCAAATGTTCAAGCTCATCCCATAATAACACAAATACAGGAAATCTGGAGGAAAATAGCCAGTATTTCAAAGATAAACCCATATTTAACTTTGTCCTTTGGGATTTAGGACAATCGTAATCTCCTGATTAGCAAATCCTCAGCAATTTGGAAAGTGTGAGTGAATAAAGGGAGTCTTATTCTGAGTCATTTATATGATTGAGGCACACTTATGTCCTTTAGCAACCTGGTTGAGAGGCTCAGTCTGTCCAATAATTAATTTTGGAGGTATTTTCAATGAAGATATTAGATGCATCTTTGGCTCACCACAAACCTCTCCCCAGGGTCTGGACCTTGTAAAATCAGTCTTATGCATTGCTGAGGCAGGACATGAGGTTTCCCAGTTCTATTCTATGCTTTTAAACACTTCTGGCCATTATATCAACACAGCTCTAAAAGCAAAATGTCTCTTCTGAAGAAATGAAATAGGATAAAATTATCGGTACTACTGATCACGCTTCAATATCAGAATAAAACTGAAACAATTCAAAATTCTTCAGCAATATTGCTGGTACCCTAGCAGGTTGTTTAGATTAGGGCTGAAAGACTCTTATGATTGCTGGTGGTGTAACAAGATGTTATGGGACTTAGTTCATGCATCGTGGTCATGCCCAATGGTACAGGCTTTTTGGACCAGGATCCATAAGTAAATTTCAGTGATAACAGGGATGGACTACAAACTCTGTCCTGAATTCTACATACTAGGGAACCCTAAAGCCCTTAGCTAACCCTTAGCTAACTGGGTCCAGAGAAGCAAGAAGCATGTTGGCAAACAGATAACGTGGAAGGATGCAGCCAATTATTTCAGGAATGGGTCTTAGAACTGGGTAAGGTGGCAGTATTTGAGAAAATATTGTACAGTCTGATGAATCAGATGGAAAAGTACAATGAAAAATTGGGAACATTTTTTGCAATTTGACTGATTACATGTGACTTAACAGACGCATTCCCTGACTCTTTGGTTTAGCTTCACCTACCTCACTGTTGTTGAGTTGTATTCCATCTATCAGTGTCAACCTCCGTCTTGACAAATGATCTGTATTAGCAATAAATGTGTATGCATATGTGACTGCGTGTATGTATATAAAAGTATACAATTTAATCTTCTACTTCTTCTAGACCTGTTACTTTTTTTCTTTTTCTCTTTTATTTATTTACTATAGAGGTGGTATGAAGGTGGTGAGGGTACCTCCGAAGTAATGTGGACATAATAATATGGACACAACCATTCAAGGATTGTGGTTCCTCATATGGGAATGGTACAGTGGTCACTTGTCAAATATCTATACTGAAGTTTTATTTTGGATACACCAATGCTGCCCTGATATCGTTGTTTTGTTTTGATTTTGTTGCCACTGTCGGGTAATCTGGCCCACAGCCTCTTTAATTTGTTGGTGTTTGTTGTTTGCTTTTGTCTGTGTTGTAAAACACCATACAAATATAAGTCATAAAAAGAGAAGTAAGTCCAAACCCATGGTCTGTTCAGGTTTTTAATTTGGAAGGGTGAAATTACTAAGAATTTTATCAATATAAATATCCGGAAGATTATTTGGATATGTATATAAAGTTTTATAGAAATCTAAAGTGTTATTGATTCCGTACAAAATCACTCATGTACTGTTTAACAATATCTGTAGATTGCCACTTCTGCTGACTTCTAGCATTACTGACCCTATCTACTCCTATTGTCAAATACAATGTTGAAGTCCCCTCCTATGACAAGTGCATTATGTGAGTTATCAGAGTGAAGTGATGAAAGAGTGAAAGAATGCGTGGTCATCAACATGGGCTGTGTATACAGTGTTAGCGCTGCATAGATGAATCTCTTGGACAGATAAATTCCCTATTGTAAATCTATCTTCACAATCAATAACTGTGCTGTTAACAGCGAATGTCACTTTTCTATTTAACAGAAGAGCAATTCCTCTGTGCCTTGGGTTGTAACTGGTTGAATATACATGAGGAAACTGTGCTGTGGTGAGAAGTGCTGACAGATGAGTCTCCTGTAATAAAGCCATGTCTGCCTGCAAATCATTTGATTCATTGGCTATTTTAAATCTTTTATTTCTCTGGACTTAGTTCCATGCACATTCAATGGCACAAATCTTAATGTGGACATGCTCCTCTTAGTTTTAAGATGAATGAATAAAAATGTGTGAGTGTGTCCATCTAGTTGCATGCACAATATAAATGCTCAGCAAGCTTGCATCTGTAGCCACCATGTGTGAGTGAACAGTGTTGTGTTTTGGGCAAGATCTTTGCTTGTGTCTTAAAAGGTAACCTTAACAAAATGTATTGGATCTGAAACACAGCCAGTTGAGATAAAAAAGACAAAAGAAAAAAAAGAAAAACTGTGCTGAAGAGTAACCGTGTAGGAAAAACATGGCCCACTGCAACCCCCCAAAAAAACACATCTTGCATACAGTAATGCTATGTGCTATGAGACAGTGGCAGTAGGATTATGGAAGCAGTGGTATTTCTATCTTAACAGTTGACTGATTAAAAATAAAATATTACAGATTACAATTTAAAGTCGGTGCAGTCTATATTGATACTTGAGTATAAAGATGTGAGTGAATGAATATCACCTGGAATTAGTAGCTGGAAGCCCAAATTGTGTAACAATTCACAAATAAATATATTAAATTTGTGGGCCTGAATCTATAATCTATGAAAGCTTAACTTTTTTAATGGAGTTGTGGAAATCACACAACCTTTCCGTGATATTGACATTTTTTAGAAATAGTCTGTATATAGGGGGAGGGTTTCACCCTCCTTGTCACTGACAGGCTTGTCTCCAGTCAATATTGGCTGGAAGAGTCCAATAGGAGCTTCTGATGAGGTAACCACAAAGTGTTTCCCAATGTGAGACTAGATATGAATGCTATGACAGAAAACCATGGGAAAAGACTAAAGTAAGTGTATCCTGGAACTGGAGCCGTGGGTGTGACAAATACAATAATTCAAAATTTAAAGGGAAAATAGTTCAATCTATAAGATAAATTGGTCAAACTATAGCATTTTATTATAAGAGATACTTGTTTTTGAAGGAGATTATATAAAATTTACTGTAAATTCTGTACAGAAAATGGATACAATGGCAAAATTTCAGTCAATAGTAAACAATCAGTGTTTTTTAACATTATGACTTACATACAGACTGAGAGACAGAGAAAATTAGACCCCAACGTTCAGGTTCTGCAAAAAACAAATTCAAAATGGAAATTTACAGGAGCTGGGTTTTCTTTATGTCTTTTATTGAAGCATCACTCCAGATCACCACATGAAAGCCATATTTTCATCTTAATCTTGGATGGAAAGTACATATATGTGAATTTACCTTAGATAACACAAGCTAATCTTATTGTCAGGTTTGAAGTGAGCAAATATAACAAGTAGAACAATTCCGAACAACGCAAATGTAATTAAAAGCACTGCTGATCAAATAGATTTTTACTGAAAGATACCGGTTTAAACAGCACACGCATATGCAATATTTTTTACGCTGTCCTGACACACTTAACTATTTGCATATTGAAATATTGTATGGCAACATTACATATCCATAGATAGACTTACAGTTTGACCTTAACATATTTGATCAAAAAGGTTTCCATTTGAAATCCATAAAAGTGTATTTGATTGTCGTTTTACACTGCCTCTGTTTCAAACATCATCATTACGACAGCTATTCACTTTCAACTTTTTTTGGAAGTGTAAGTAATCACAGATGTCACCTGTTGGGTGTGCAGCAATCTGTTTCAGGAGATTCTCTGATTCTAACAGCTGATTGGTCCAGCCCTGACATACCTCCTCTATTCCTGGCCCCTCTCCTCCATATTCTACAGGGAGGACATGTGGCAAGAAGAATTCTCTCAATGTGTTATGGAATGCTGTGCCATGTATGTGCACCTGAAAACAGAGGAACACAATTTATTTTATTTTATTCGAAGGTGTAACTACTTTTTATTTTTGTATCAAGAGTTGACAAATAACACAGAAATGGCAAAACTGCAGAGCAATTTATGAGCGTGTGTGATAAAGCTGGTACTAAGCCTCACCCTCTGTTTGATCTTCTCGGGCAGGAAGGGACTTATCATAGCAAAGACAGGGCGGAATAACACTGGTTCATTGACCAGATGAATTCCTCTGACCTTCAGTGGAAAAGAGTCCTAAACAAAAAAAAACCCCCACACACAGACATAAGAATCTGCAAGTCTTACATTACAAAAAAAAAAGCAAAAACCATGGAAAAAATATCATTAATCATGTCTTTTTTAACATTAGATAAAATTGGCTTCTGGTTCAATTACTAGCTGGGATTCTGTGTGGAGTTTGTATGTTCTCCCTGTGTCTATGCAAGTTCTCTCCTGATACCTACCATCTCACCATCCAAAACCATGCAAGTTAGGTAAATTGGCAACTTTCAAATGACTATTGCATTGATTGGGACCTTGTTGCTTGTCTCTGAGTGGTCCTGTGATGGACAATCAACCTATCCAGGGTGTACCCGGTGTTTTGCCTAATGGCAGCCGGGACATACGTCAGATCTCAACACAACCCTCATTTTAACAAAGTAGGCATAGGAAATGGATAATGGATCCATGGTCATCTTTACATTACTTGTCCACAGAAATATTTAGTTAATGAATGAATATGGTGAAGGGTCACATTTTGATTGCTTCATATTATATAAGGTAGTGGGAATAATTGAATACGATTCAAAGAAGATGCTGATATTTCAGAAATATTAATTAAAAAAAAATAAAAAAATTACATAATATGAGTGTCTATTTGTGTGTGCAAATGAGAGAGAAGGAGAGAGCGAGAGAGGTGAGGGAACCTTACACTTACCGAAAGTACAGAGGATATCTTTTTTGCAAGGGAAGGGTTAATCTGCAGAGCATGACCTAAACTCCACCCCTGTAGGTCAAATATGGCTTTTAGACCCTGTCTTTGTGTTTCTGTCTCCATGGAGATGATCTCAGATGTCATCAAGCTGATTCTGAACACATGAAAAGCTGACCATTCCTTTGGGTTCCATTGCCCTGCAGGAAGACATATAAATCACTGTACCTCTGTTTATACCGCACGTTTCCAAGAATATAGATTTCTGGTTATAACTTTGCCATCCAAATGTTCCCATTATCACCATGCTACTGTTGCTTAACAGCATACCAAAGGTACATTTTGTCAATTTTTCCCCAGTCTAAATTATCTGGAAACATTTATCCCAAGAATTTGACTGTATTCAGAATACACCAATATTTTTTATTCAACCCAATATTTCAGATTCTGAAGATAGAGGACATTCTGAAGATGAATGTTGCTGTCACTAGCATGCTTCTCTTGGGGTGAAGCGATATATTGCTTTTTCGCATTACTATATTTCCCTTGATGGTCAAAAAGTTTGTTTAATCTAACCAGAGTACCTTGCTTCACATGTTAGAGAGAGGTCCAATTCTTTGGGCACAGTATGATTTGGGGGTTGATTTAAATGAAAGATTCTTAGACTAATGGATTAAATAACCAATTGCTCAATTTTACATAAATACACACATACATCTGTGTACACACCAATCCTGTAAATGAGAACTCTGCTACCAGTGTGGTCCCGCTGTGGGAGGACAGCATGGTATGATGTACTGAGAAGTCCGAGCACAGACGAGGGAGACAGACAGCTGCTTATCTCAGGACTATCTTTGCGCCACTGAAGGTAGTTCAACAAGAGCTGCAGAAGATGCAAAACGTTATCCAAAGGTTGTACTATGTTGATCTTTTCTAGTTATGTATGTCTATCTGAAATTATGCTGCACTAAAAAAATGTATTGCACTGCCAGGTGGCCAATGCAAAACCTTAAATCCACTATATTATTCAAGACAGGTCCTAACTCTATCACCCAATGTTTCAGATCCAGCACACTTGATTAAAATAAATGGGTCTTCATCAACCTTCTAGTGAACACAAAGTCATTTGAATGAATTGCCTTCTTTTACAAGAATTTCGGTTAGCATTACGACACATCCCTTTATGATATAGATGAGAATTTCTTCAGAGTATAACATGCAGTAAAGACACTGAGGATATATAGAAAAACAATATCTAAATCTTGATGGGTTTAGTTTTAACCTATATGACATGGAAATGATAAATGAAAGGATGGCAGAGAATGAGGTTGAAAATATGGGTAACCAGTACAAGGTATCAAGTGCAGTTCCATGCGGTAGAAAGTGATGAGAGAAGCCAATGCTTGATGACTAAATTCGGCATCAAAGCTAAAATCCTTTAAAAAAATAATTGTCTAAATGTAGTTTACTGCTGCGTACACAAGAAGTTCAAATATAAACCTGCAAATGGATTATTAGTAGTTTATGTTTTTTTAAAATCTACAAATACATAATCCAGGCCAAGACTAATTAATGATGGACTACAATAAATGGAAAACTGCTCTGGCAAATTAAAAAGCAAATTTCTATATATATTTTTTCTAATTAAATGAAAGTTTGAAAACAGGAAGATAATTTGTAGGATATGTTAGCATTTTTAACATGGCCATTATTGATGCTCAATAATGAGTATAAGTTTGGAAAGAGCAAACACTGCCTATGAAGAGATCAGTTAAGACTGTACAAATTCAAACAAGACCAAGTTGTTTAAATATACAACGAGACAGTTGCACAAGACGGTAAAGAAAACGAAGACAATTGATAAATTCGTTGATGCATCCGTTTGAACCCTGGACCACCAGTATGAGGATAAAATGTTTATTTTTCTTTAGTAAATTTTGTACAAACCCCCCAGAACGCAAAAGAGAAAGAAAAATAACCAGTTACAAGAACGCATGATACACTCTTGTTATCTATCAATTTTCAGTGGGCTGCATTGATAAGAATATTATTTTCCAGTGAATAAGTGGCGTTGCTGTACCTTCGAAGAAAGAGCCACGTCGAAATCTCTGGCTCGCAGGAACTTGATGAGAAAGTTGTCGGAGAAGGTCTGAACAGATAAGTCGTTGGTTTGAAGGATTTGTCGCCTCAAGCAGATGACATATGGTCTCATTTGTTCAGACTCGTCGGGGAGATCATTGAGCTGATGCCCGTTCATGTTGCATTTAGGTCGATTTTACTTCAACGCGTGCTCCTCTATAAAGACCACAATCCGCCTGAGTGGTAAGGAATAACACCTAGAGGGAGGTAGAGGGTGTATTTGTGTGAACTTACGTGTCTATCTTTGTGTGGACCAGATACTTTTTTTTTGTCATAGTTTGACGGCATAAGCGATGTTGTTTTTTTATCAGAGCCACGTTTAGGGAAGATTGCGTTGTGATTTACTCCCATTACTAGCGTTGTAGTGGTGGATCTAAATACTTTGGAGTCAACCAGTAACTAAAAAAAGGTAGAAGCCTTTCATATCTGTGACCACGTGAAGAGAATTGGATTTGTGTACTCGAGTTGTAAATGTGTTCTATGTTTCACTGCTCAATAATAAGTGATATTTAATTGTCATCACTATGAGGTACAGGTCAGCCATGCATGATACTTTATCATATTCACGTTAATTGGGCACGCCAAAAAGTACTCCTCCTTATTTTTGTGAAAAGGTTCAACCTTAATGCAAGCCTCATAAGATATGATATCCAGTACCATCCATTACAAGTAAATATGCCAAAGGGGCTAAAAGTTAACGTTGCCACCGTCATATTCTTCCTTCAAGTTCAGTGTTGGTGATGCTCATAAAAATAAATACTTTTTTTTTTTTTAATTGTCCCCCGTAAAAACCTTGAACTGTTACACTACAATTGCATTTAAATGTTAATTCCGTTTAATTGACTAATTTATATTTAAAAAACAAACATCTGCCGTTGAATCATATTGCAATGCAGCTTGAAAAGTTCAGTTTAGACAAGTGGACGTAAAGTTTTCTAGCCTCTCATCCATAAATCTTATTCAGTTCCAACTGATGGTGAGGAGTGCTGAGATTATATAACAATATAATTTCCCATTTCCCTTTGGAAATAATAATACAATATACTGGTTCCCTCTAAGACACTCTTTTTATTCTCTTGTTGAGGTTTTGCATTACTCTACGGTTAAGTTTTTTTCCCATCGCTTTAGATTTATGTTGCATTAAACTGCAAATTCTGCAGAAAAAGGAATTGAATAATGGAAAATCTTAGGCCTGATTAACAACTACATATAACTTTATTTGAGTTTTTTCTAATGTAGATATATACTATCTTAAACCACAATTGAAAGCTAACAAAATCAAATAAATACTGTAAAATTCAGTAACTTCTAATATGTTTTCCTAATATGACAGATATTAGATCACAACATGGATCAACATTACCCCCTACTGGTAAAAAGAATAACATCCATCCATGTTCCATTATCATTTGTTCCCTAGTGGGGTCGGAGGGAGAACTTGAGCCTATCCCAGTGCTCAATGGGCGAGAGGCGGGGTACACCCTGGACAGTCCACCAGTCCATCGCAGGGCCGAACAGAAGGACAAACAACCAAGCACAAGGGTAATTTGGAATATCCAATCAACCCTAACATGCAGGTTTTTGGACTTCGAGAGGAAGCCGGAGAACCCAGAGAGAACCCACGTGGACACAGGGAGAACATGCAACCTCCAAACAGAAAGGTCCTGGTTCCCCTTTGAACCTTGAACCTTCTTGCTGTGAGGCGACAGTGCTAACCACCACACCACCGTTCCACCCTAAAATAATAACATTTAAAACATAAATGTGTGAATGTATTCCACACAATGAAGTGAAATATAAAATGCTGCCTTTGAAATTGCAATATTTTCTTCAAAATAATACAAATCATATTTTGAACTCTTTATAATGAAAACATAAATAAAATAGTTAATTCTAAAACATTTCTTAAAAGGAATTGCTCTATTGCTGTCCATGATTCTCTATTTCGAAGATTACACCACACAAAAAATACCCTGGTCTGGAATTCTACAGGCTCAGAATAAAAATTAAAAAAACTAAATACATGTAGTAAAATATCAAAATTTCAATAAGGATTAAAAAAAGAATAAAAAAGAATTTGGAGCTGAATTACCTGAAAAACCTCAACAGGAGTTGGTGAATCAGATGGTGGTGTCCAGCTACTACCATACGTACAACACAATGACTATAACACATTTAATGGTAATGCAATGCTTCTCATTAATTTATTCGTCAATAAGTAATGTATCATATAATCAAGAGCTCTAGGTAACAGCATATTTGTCCCTCTCAATAAACCAAGTTATAGATAGAGAGAAACCAAAAAGTATTTTCTTTATTTTTTGGTTTAAAAAAGAACTGCCTTCCTTTAAGAAGTTGGAGCATTTTTTAATCTAAGCTGAGGTTTTGTTTACAACATTCTTTTTCTCCTCACCGAGAAAACCATGGCAATTGAGTATGAATAATCTCAAATGGTGGATTTATGCAGTAAAAAGATGATCAAAATGGTCTTAAATAGCATATAACCTTATTCTCCAACGCCATGCTGCAGATCAGATGTCAAGTGAGTCATGAAAAAATATAAAGATACTTTGGCCAACCATTGTGGATGATAAGATCATGCATAGCATCCTCACTAGGCAGAGCAACAAATTAATATTAAAATCATTCTAAAAATCACAAAATTTGCTTCAACATGAAGCCTTGAGTGAGCAGTCATTGAGTGGACACTATTGCTTTATGAATTTCCAAAAATGACCTCAGCTTCGGCCTTAAACACAACCCTAATTTTTCCCGATGACAGAGATCCCAAAAAGTTTGATGGGAGACCATTTCTTTTCTTATGGATAAATAAGCATTTTTAAAAATTAACTACATTTAATATAATTAGAACCTTTTCAACATTCTTTCTGGGTTCCCTATCAGTTTAGCATTTCCTTAACAGAAAAATATCCTTATACACAACTCTGCACACCTGTTTCCAGAGGTTCTCAATACTTCCACTCTCAGTAACATTCCTCCAATTCATGCGAATTTCACACAGTGACAATTTCTATCAAATAAGTTCAAATCCAAAAAAAATGCACATTATTTCATACATTTCAAGCCAATGACATTTAGGAAAAACAGAAGAAAGAAAAAACCTTCAAGGTCAAAGCATTGCTGTCATATTCTACTTTTTAAAGGGTTACACTGATTTTGAGGAGGATACTGATAACATTCTTGACATTTTTTATTTTACTTTACTGCTAATCATTGTTTGTAACACTTTATTTACTAATCTAAAATTAAAGCATCACTCATACCCTGTATGCAATTTCCTTTTTTAATGTAATATATTCCAAGTTACTGAAGCCATCTTCTTTTTTGTATCCTTTTGTTAGAGATTTGCATTATTACTAAAGCATTCTTAAGACATTTTCAAATAACTTAGGTTTGGTGTGGCAAATCATTCTAATTCAAGGTTAGTAATAATTATTTGAGGGTGCTAAGCCTAATTGTTGGTTACAATTTTCCAGTAGCAATGCAACATAGAATTTTCAGCTCACATGGTTAAATATGAATGTTTTTTCTGATTACAAAATTTCATCAAAAAATATTGTGCTAAATATCTCTTCACAGGCATTTTACCTAAAAGTAGCTAAAAATGTTGTAAACTAATAGGAACAAACTGCCAACAGGCCCTGACAATGACAATTGGAGTTTGATACACCTGATATACTGACAGTTCTGTCAGAATAATAAAGGTGCTGATATCGCCAGGTTTGGCCTGTAGTAGTTGATTTGACTGCTGGAAAAGCAAGAATTTTCACCAGACTACTGTGTGTATTTTTTCCCTTTCTTTTTTTGCCCCCAAAACAGACTAGCAACATTACTTTCTGCATCACCCTGTGAAGATAAACATCCATCCATCCATCCATTATCATTACCGCTTATTCCGTGATGGGGTCGCGGGGGAAACTGGAGCCTATCCCAGTGGTCAACAGGCAAGAGGCAGGGTACACCCTGGAGAGTCTGCCAGTCCATCGCAGGGCCACACACAAGACATACAAGGACAAACAACCACACACACTCAGATTCACTCCTAAGGGCAATTTGGAATTTCCAATCAACCTAACATGCAGGTTTTTGGACTGTGGGAGGAATCAGGAGAACCCGGAGAGAACCCACGCAGACACAGGGAGAACATGCAAACTCCACCCAAAGGTCCTGGGTCCCCTGGGACTCAAACCCAGAACCTTCTTGCTGGGAGGTGACGTTGCTAACCACCACACCACCGTGCCGCCCTGAAGATAAACATCTCTTTGGAATATGTATTCAAAAAAATAAATAAATACAATTTAAAAGCTTCTGAGAACTTGTGAATTAGCAGGAAAATCTGTAAAACTCTCATCATAATCACATCATCTTGTCCAACAGTGAAATACGCTGCTCATAATGAAGCAATAAAAAAAAATAAAAAAAAGTATATGCACCAAACCCAGGCTCCTTAATTTTTTTAACGTAATTATAAATTAAACATTGTTTTTAGTTTTGTGTATTAAAACCTATTAATTTAATGTCCTGTTAAATGCCTTCTCTTTTCCGTTTATAAAAGTTATGGACCTGTAATTTCTCCTTGAACAGCTCTGATTGTCATCTTACATTATCAGCTGGCTGCATGGTGGAAGATCATATATATATATATATACTAAAAGACCAAATAAAGCTCTTATTGTAATGTATATTTCTGAAGGCTATACATTTTCCATACATGATTAAATATTATATTTTGATGATTACAAATTATGTATAACTTTTCACATCCTTTTTTAAATGTAAAAGATTTACTCCAACAGTACAAAATGTCTTAAACCTGACATATTGAGACTGTAACAACTGTGAATCCATTTTAATTTAAGAAAAAACAAAAACACTTACAAACAGCTATATATTTTTCAACTGAATGGAAAGGAGCATTTAAGATAATGAGAACGGAAAAGGCTCTGTCATTAAACGCACTTTGGCTTAACAGGCTTTGAATCAATTTAAAAAATAAATAAACAAAGTATCATTGTCAAATGATTTTCTCTGATACATCTAAGATCTAAATTGATCATTCTTTTGTATAAATAAGGAACCATTTATCTAAACCATGAAATTACCACATGACAAAAACGTAACCATACTCCCTGTAAGTTTTAAAGAATGAAAAATTAAATTGGAATATCAAATTTAGCAATAAAGTGCATAAAATAAAGACACTGTTAGTTCTAAGTGGAAATGGACTCATGTCAACTATCTGATGGATATCAGAGGTTAATAACTACATATAGCTTTCATTAGTTTACAGAAGACAAATTATTAATCAAACATGTAAAAAAAGAAACCTTAAGACAAATAGATTTTAAGATCATTACATCAAAGTAGTACTGAAACCATATGCAAGAAATAGTCACGGGTTTTAGATTTTTTTTGGAATGTGGAATAAAACAACAAAGGTATTTTAACCCTAACAGTGACATCTAGAGAAGTGTTTTGCCAAACACTATCAAAGCTGTCTTTTAGAAACAACAGTGGAATACCTGTTGCATATTCAGCATTGCCAAACAATGGCATAACCAGCATAATATAAAAACAAAAATGGTATGATCGACGCAGTCAATTAAAGGGAATGACAATTTTGTGATGCAAACACTTCCTATCAAATCAATAAATTGTACAATTTTCCACAATGAATGTCTGCAACCTTTTCATTTCAGTTTACAGATATACATATAACTTATCAAGGCAACCAAGAGAGGAGTGTTTACACTTTGTATTACATGGATTTCCAGAGAATTCCAAAAGCTTTGGGGATTCATAATAGAGCTATAATTAACAACAGCTGCATTTCTGAACTGATTCTTAATTATTCTTTTTGAGTCCTTGTTTCTGAACTGATTCTTAATTATTCTTTTTGAGTCCTTGTTCATCCTTGTATTGTCCTGTGATGCACAAAGGTTTATTCCAGCTCTCACCCAATGACAGTTGGGATAGGCTCCGGCCATATGCTCATCTATATGAAAAATCATAATACATTCAAAAGGACAATTTCTCAAAGGGTGATATTTTTTTCACAAAAGCTGAGTGAAAGCTGTTGCAAGATAAATGGGGTGAATCACTGCTATACAAAACCCTCCAGATGGTGCTCCATTAATTCTGAATGCTTGCTTTTCAATTTGTTAAGTTGGGAAAAAAATTACTTCAATGAGTGTATTCTCTCAAGTTACAAACACTCTAAGGAAATATTTCTATTCTATGTATGCGTCAATGCTCAAGATTCTAAAACAGAACAATGAATAATGATAAAATATCAAACATCCATCGACAATTGAACATATAAAAATTACTGTGTATGTGTGAACAAACTGATATTCTATTCTAATTAAACTTTAATACAAAGTTGCGCGTTTCTGTTTCACATATTTCCAAAGCATGTTAGGTACTACTAGGCAGCTTTGTGATGAATTGATAGGGAGAGTTAAACAAACAAGGACCGATTGAGAGGCCACAAGTGCCATTTGTTGATCAGCACTGTCTGTTGTCACCACAGTGAAAGAAAAGAGGTTGAAAGGGGGGGCACTTTCCGATTCTCCAATGCTGGAAGAAAGATCCCCGTCTCATTCAAAGTGTAAAATCACATGGCCACATCAAAACTTATGATGTGCTGGTTGAACACATTTTTCTTCCAAGGTGTCTTTCCATGAGTGTAGTACACAGAAAAGAATGGCAGTTGTTCACCTCTCTCCATGTGTTGGAGTTATGTGGCACTGAAAAAAGGGGGAGGAACACTTCATTACAAAGTGACTTGAACTCTATATAGAGGCAATGTTTGTGCAGAGGCTTTTGAAGATGCCCAAAGCAATGGCTGGGTATGGGTGCAGTGAAAGAGTCCACCTTTTTGTGGCTGCTATGGAAAAAATTCATCCCACTACTTAGGTCAGGTAGAGCTTTAGTGTTAAGCCCACCACTGGTTATTACAGAAGATGAAATGGCCCAATAGCTGGTTTGACTGTTCAAAAGGTAAAACATTTTCCCTTGAAACAACTCTGAACCGAAAGCAGAGGTTCATGCATTGCGGAAAAATAATAAGTTCAAAACTCTGACTTGACTAGAATTTAACGCCCACTTTCTGGGTAAGTCCTTATTTAAGAGGTTGAGTTTCCTCCTTTGAATAAATTTTGGACCCAGGCAAGGGGCGTGGCCTGATGTCAGGAGTCATCATCTGTATCTTCTATCAAAACCTTGGTGTCTCGGGTCTTTGACCTGAAGGGATAAAAATGAGAGAAAGTATCAACAGTGTGAATTCCTACCCGAGTAAACTGATCGGCCAAAGCTGAATTCTTGGATACTGCGTCCACTCATGAGGTATGTGTTTGCAAACAAGTTTTAGCATGTGTCCCTGTACAACAAAGACTCCTATGTGAAACTGAAAAACTCAGGACTCGCTGAATCGTAGTACTCGCATACACAGTAAACGTTGGATAAAGAAGAAAACATGAGGTAATACACATTGTTGTTATGAAGTGTGTGGAAAAACATCCAACTGTACATCTACTGCATGAAAAAGGAGGGTAAGTAGCTCAGTGCCAACAAAGTTGTTCCTAATTAGGGTACTTAAATAATTGGTCATTGTGTAAGCACTATTATTAAAATAAAATCTTTGTTAGTTTACTGATCTTGAACTTTAAATAGTACAGACATGAGCAATTATATGACAAAAGCAATTGCTGCTGAGAATTAATTGTAAGACTATTTTCAAACTATTTGGACTACATCATTCAACAGTGAGAGAAAATGTATGCAAATACCTTATAGCAAATGTCAAAATAATGTAGTGGAAGGTTGATTAATGGTGCTTGTTTTTAACACTGCAACTCTTAAGACACTTAGTTGTCAATGTGTAGACGATAAATTCCTTGTTTTATAAATGTATATAAAGATAGATCCTATCTGTGAGACAACTAAGCCTTGTTGGAATTGAGGGGTTCATATGCAGTGTGTTGTTCATATGTTGCACATCTGTTCACATATTTACATTTCTGCTCAACCTACAGATCAATCAAATCCGATCAAATTAACTATTTAGACACAGACGACTGAAAAGAGAAAAGTAATAAAAATTACAGAACACCATGAGGTTAAGTATCACATCTTGCTTTTTCAGTATGTATGACTTATTTTTCATATCATAGAGTGATAGTATTAACACTGATGATAAATATAAAACAATTAGCTGAATGAAAAAATGATTGTGTATAAATTAAATATACACACCTAAGCTTTAGCTCAACTGAGAGGTCGTTGTTTTTGATTCACTGAAACCCAAATTGCTCAGATGTATCAGACACATATATTATTGACAGTTGCTTTGACCAAAAGCGACTGTTAAGTATGTAAATGTAAGAATTGTAGATTAAAAAACATCATCTAAATCTGCAACACCATCACTATCAACGAGTGCATTTTATTCAGCACAATATACACCTGCCAAACCAATACTTTTCACCAAAGATTTTTATTTCAGTTGTGCGATTAAACGGACAATCCTTGTTTTGTTGCCAGGCATCACATTATAATCTGAAAATGTTCTAGTTAAGGGTGAGTGTTATGAAAACTAAAAGACCAATACTCACTGTGAAGCCAGCCGTGGCCTACGTAGACTCATGCTGTAGCTTCTCTTCCAGTTCTTTTTTCCTTGCCGGTTCCTGACTCCATCCTCTTGGTCCATCATCTGCTCCAGCAGTGTTTGGTCATCGGCATTGAGCGGGGCTACACTAATATCTCTGACAGCCCGGAACTCACCACAGTTGTTAAGATGTTCATTCTCAAGACGGAAGAAGTTCCACACAAAACGCCTAACAAAGACAAAAACACCTATCTCTAGTGGTCTATGCTTACATGCAAGTCATACATACAGTTCTACTTTCTACTCAATATTGTTTCATTTTCTGTATTTTCAATATCGAACTCTCAACAAAAACTCAGGAATATAGACATTTCTATATGAAAAAAAAGGCAGAGCCGAATCTAGAACATTACATATGCTGCTGGTGAGCAACAGGAAGATAAACGGTTAAGAGAAACAAAATGAAAAACTCAAGGAGAAAAAGTTGAAAATATAAAGGTCATAAATACCGAAAGACCTCAAGTGGAGCCAGTACAGTAGCAAGTATGTCGGACACACCAGGAAAATCAGTAAGGGTGGTTAAGGAGATGGTTAAAATCCATGCAAAACGCAAGAGAACATCCTCCACTATGGCACTGTAGTAATAGGCCTGGAACAAGAGACAACAAGAACAGTACATCCATAATGACAAGAGATTTTCAATTCTCAGAATGAAAGGATTGTATTTCTCTGGATGCAAGAATACCTTGTGTGGGTAAACTATCTCCTCTCTCAAAAATGTATTTTCCCCTGCGTTGCGGTCAAACAGACCCCAGTCCATCTTCAGATCCCAAATGAGTGTATAACATGAGCTGACCAATAAACAGGTGATATACAAATAGAAGAAGATCTGGGCTTCTGCTTGAGCTTCATCGGGCAAGAGAAAAATGGAAAAGTTATACAGACAGAATTAAAATCAGAATGCCTGAAGTTTGAATAACTTTGCTGTCAGAAGTGTTTCTCTTATTATCATTCCATGACCATTGAAGGGATGACAGAGACCTCATTGGAAGTCTATTTGGCAGCATTTTAATCATTATGGGTAAGTCTTCATAGCATTTGCACAGCTGGATATGGGTAGTTTATCCTTACAAATGTCCCTTAATCTATACTTAAGTATAAAAAGTATCAAAATTATCATGGGAGACTTGTGATAATAAGATAAATTACAATATCCGGCTGGCTCTTTCCTGGTGAAAATTTAATTTGGATTCTGGAACTTCATTAATCACATCTAAGCGTATTAATAGTAGTCCATAGACAGTGTGCCAAAAGCAGAATTTTACCTTTGTGTGTGCTGTACAGAGCAGAGAAGGTGACAACAAAGAAGGAAGTGGAGTACTTCCCAGCATTAACCAAGTGCGGAAATGCCCTTTTGGTGTCACGGTAACGTCGTAGACATTGGACAAATCGGAACCATGCAGGAAGACATTTGATCACTGCACGAACCCCATAGGAGTAGGAGTTACATACGTCATTCCCTGTAAAGGATGATATTCAACAGTATCATTGAGCAATGTATCAGCATTCACAGTTATTAAATACCAATAGAGGTTGTCTGTTTGTTTGGGGATTTTTAATCTTAGTCTGACCGTTGCTTATGAGTCCATTGTGTTTTTTCCAGTCCAGCTCAAAACTGTAGAAACATATCATGTACTCCAGATCCATTAGAACCACAACTAGAGAGTTTAGCTGATCAGCCAACCAGAAGTCTGCAAATCCAACACGATGAAATGGAGCCGTCACCACGCGAAACTGCAGAGCCAAACAGATATAAAGACAAGAATCACTTTACAAAAAAACAACAACAAACAATTACATGTGAAATCTTAAAAATGGAGCATTCATGCATAAATCTGTTTAATAAAACATGAAAGATAATGTTTTGGTCTCCATATCTGCATCCAAAAGGGAAACTCACTTTTTGGTTCAAATGAGATTCAAACCAAATATCCTTAAATAATTCTTCCTTTATATCAAAGCCCTAAACATTGCAGATATTTTTATTACATTTGTATAGTTTATATATCCTTAATTATTGACAAATGAAAAACTCAAATGAGAATGTATATCAACATCTTAAATACCAACACTCAAAAGAATTTTTTAACATCTCAGAGTTTACCTGAAAAAAAGAGGAACATTGGACAAGGATATGATTTTGTTATGGTATATCTTTTTTTATAAGGTACATAGTCATGCCACAGTTCTAATTTAAATGATTTTTCAAGGAGTGATCTTACCAGCAGTTTGAGCAACCAGAAGCGTGACTTGTAATAACAGGTTTTGAAAGGATTGATGAGGAATAGGAGGAAGAAGCCATAAAGGGCCAGCGGATTGGCTTGCATTGGTACAAGAATGCTGTCACTGAACAGACAGGACAGCAGGCTTACACACCACAACACCCCCAATAGCCCTGCAATCTGAAACAGATAGAAGGATTCATAAACTCCTCTAACCGTAAATGATGGCTGAAGAGAGTGCTAAAGACCCAAAGGGGAAAAACATTAAGTTAATCAACCCCGAAATGCAACAATAAACATTCTTTACATATCTATCAGTGCATTATTACCTCAAACAGATGCTGGTGGGACAGATTATTTCTGGGGTTCAGTTCAAATATGAGTACATGGTTAACACCTGCCTGCCTCCAGCCATATGTGTTGATCCCTACAAAAAAAAAGTAAGGACGTGAAATTAGGAAAACAATGTTATTGTAAGTATTTTAAGCACAAAAGTAATTTTATCTAACTGTTCTGTATATTTTTGCTTTATAATAACTAAATCCCTTTATTTCATACTGAGGTACAGTATATCTTTGCTTTCAAATAAATTAATTAAACTTAACTCCAAACTTAGCTGTAAATGTGCACCTAATGTGTTTTTGTGTGTGGGGAAAAATAAATACCTAAAAGGAAAAGAAATTCTATCAACAGGAAGCCTCCTCTGTAGATCCTGACCATAGGCCAGACTTCAAAAGGCTGAATCCTATCAGGTCGAATCCAATCAGCTCCTATTAACATAAGCCATGTGATGGGTAATAGAGCAATAAAAAATACACAAAGAATCAAGAAAATCAGAGGTGAGTGAAATCAAACTTAAGGCAATTTCCCCCTTTAACATCTTCACCTAGAAAAAAGGACAGGAATACATTTTCTTTGCATTTATTCATCTCTTTTGAGCAATAGCAACCAAAATAATTGCTTTATTTAACAGAACACAACGTTATGGAACCCATGCTTAATTAGGACATCACATACTTAAACTTTATTTAAGAGATAGTTTAGGTAAGTGCACTTTCTTCTTTTTTATCCTTTATCCTTTGACCAAGTATGATGAGTGTTCTACCAAATGGTTGAGGAAGCAGCCAAACTGCTGCTTCCTCAAGCACTGTGTCCTTTACTTATTTCAATTATTCAAAGACCCTGTCAGCTTGAAGGTAAGTGATTGTTTATTCAAAATGAAGGTCATCTTTAAGGCTGGAAAGTGGTTCTTTTTTTATTTAAGAAATGTCCAATAGGCTGAAGTTTGAATCTTGTTCACATGCAACAGACATAGAATTTTCACTTTGGAACTCTAGAACACCATTGACAGTATCCAAAAAGCATTCATATGTACAAATGCAATCTCTATCAACATGCACAACATCCTTGTATGGGTAGTGTATATGGCCAAATTCTAGGCCAATGAATCAGGTAAAGTGTAAACTATTTTAAATTTGTAACTCGTCAATCCAACTGGAATACAAAGGCAAATGTATGGAGAAATATTTGTATTGGTTTATTCAAAGAATGGCAAAAGACTCTCTGAAATGAACTTTTGGCTTATACTGCCAAGCTGTATTTAAAAACAAATATCACAATGTAATGCAGAATAATTTTTCAAAATATATAATTTAAAATACTTATATATAAAAAAAAAAAGGTTTTTTAAATATCATAATCATATATACTGGGATGGACTGGCGGACTGTCCAGGGTGTACCCTGCCTCTCGCCCGTTGACCACTGGGATAGGCTCCAGTTCCCCCCGCGACCCCATCAGGGAATAAGCGGTATTGATAATGTATGGATGGATGGATGGATAATCATATATAATAATATTTTCCTGCAACTATGTGGCTTTAAAAAAATAAAAATCTAATTATCATAAATAATATTGTTGGGCTTGTAGGTAATGTAAATTCCTCTGCAAGAAAAAAAAATGCTATTATCTATGTAAAAATTTGTGTGAGCAATACCTGTAATGACAACTGTGACTATCAAGACAAGGAACACTCCAGAGTAAAGGCCAACTCTGAAGGTGGTCCAAGCAGGGGCAGGCTGTGAAGAGAAAAACATTTATTATCAACAGAAATGGCTAATAAATATAGATATAATTTCCCAAAAATGTATAGTTTAAAATTCCAAATGTTTCCATAATTTACATTTCTTGTGCATATTCTGAATATTTACTAAGTAGCTCTTCTACAGACTGTCCACCATATGTTGGGAAAGCTCACTCTCAAAAACAGGAGACAGTAAAGAACTTATACATGAATTTCAATAAACTATGTTAGGCTTCCGTTACTAATGTGTGTATAAAGAGGAGTGTTCACAACATGAAGGGAACCTTCTGTGACCCAATGGTAATTTGACTGATTCAGAAGGTGCAAGTGTACAGTGCTTTACAGGAAACCTGAATGATGCACCACGACCTGCTAAAAGTTAAAACAAATATATAAATGTAGGTTATATGCTGTAAAATATGTAATATGCTGGTTATATTGTTTTTTCCAGATGGCACTGAACCAGATTAGAAATGCTTTTTTAAACATTAACTACTGCAGTAAAAATCTAAACCAAACTTTGGTTCTTTTATGTACAGAGTTGACTGAACTTGCTGAGAAAGTTGACTGAGAATAAAAATGTTTGTTTGACTGACTTGTGCAGCTCCCAGTGGAGGAACCCTCAACCTCTTCATGGCCTTCTGTCTGTCACCACCTTCCAATTCTGTTGTGACCAATGCCTGAAAAAAGCAATAAAATAATTAGTCATAGACTGCTACGGGTTAATAACACACAAGAAAACTGTTTGCTTAGCTTTGTGTGTGTATAGCAAATTTAATCGACAACCACTGCATATATCTGTGTTGTCTCATGTGTGTTTAACTCGGTGCCTCATAATCTTCCATTTGGGATAAATATATTAATTGTGAGAATGCCTACAGGCATTCTCACTATACCTTTCCTGTTTCTCTTCCGTACGTTTTTGTGCATCTAACTCCTCCTACACCTTTCAGCCAATTTCAACAAATAAGGTATCAAAATGTTCAGCTCCTTCTGCACATAGCTGCTATTACTTTTGGTGTTCATATCTTTTCAATTTTTTAAGTTATTTAACTTTTTCTGTTTTGTCTTCTCTCATTGAAATGAATGGAGAAATCTTAAACTCCGTCTAAAACTTTGACCTACTTCAGCCTTAACTACTTCAGCCTACTTTCAGCTAGAAACAAAATTCAACTTTTATATGGCTCTCAAGCCATTCAGCTATCCATCTATTACTTAAAAATATTCAGCGTTTTTTTAAATATGGCAGTATTAAAATCATTGAAATTTCAGCTTCAGCAAGCATTTGGCAGAGAGCCTCCATGTTTGATTGAGCTGTCTCCTCAAATACACGTCATACACGGTGGTGTAGTGGTTAGCACTGTTGCCTCTCAGCAAGAAGGGTCTGGGTTCGAGTCCCCGGGGAACCACGACTTTTCTGCCTGATGTGAAACTTCTTGTACCTTCTTGATAATTTTATGGCTTTTTTTACTCAATCCTCTTCTTCTAATCCTTTTAACTGATTTCTTCCACTCATTAGTTATCAGCTCTTCAACATTATTCCTAACTTCAGCCTTTATCCAATTAGACTCTATGCGTTTTTTAGCTTTTCTTTGGCTTCTTCTGCTTCCTCAGGCGCTCACGGTGTCCTCAGAATTGATTTGGCTCTTATAGTTTTGGCTAAGGAGGTCAGAATGTGAGGGGAACTATTGGCTGTTGAGCAAGCATTTGCCAGAGAGCCTGCGTGTGTATTTGAGGCAGGTGCGCCGTTTCTTTGAGGACTAATGACTAATCTACTCTGAGCCCTCCATTTTAAGCTCTCTGCTGCTCTCTTGTGGGACTCAGGTTAAACTTCATTGTGATCATTTCCAAACTGTCTTCTGCCTCTTTTGGTCTTTTTCACTCTTCTGGAAATGTTTCTTCTGATTTTTTGGACATTTGACATTTGTCAATAGAACTCTTTGGTTTTTAAAATGCTCTTGAGCTGTCTCCTCAAATAGAGAAGTTCTTGACTTTTGACCTTCTTCATACTGTCCTGTTTAGCCTGATGGGAAACTTCATCTAACTTTTTGTACCTTCTTGATAATTTTATGGCTTTTTTTACTCAAACCTCTTCTTCTAATCCTTTTAACTGATTTCTTCCACTCATTAGTTATCAGCTCTTCAAAATTATTCCTAACTTCAGCCTTTATCCAATTAGACTCTATGAGTTTTTCAGCTTTTCTTTGGCTTCTTCTGCTTCCTCAGTGCTGTCTTGTGCTGTCTTCAGCCTTTTTGCTTTAAACTCTTTTGCTCTCTTCATTCAGCTGTTGGCATTCTCACAGCTGTTTCGCAGGAACAGCTCTTCATCTAGTTCTTTATCTGATTCAGTAGATGCCTCAGATGTTTTTTTGCCATCTGCACAGAAAGTGTATGCTACTACTGTCTCCAACCGGTCAAACGATTCAGCTTAAGGAAAAAATACCTTGCTTTCTGAGCCACATTGTTTAAAGGTTTTAGCCATTTACTAGAGGTAAATATCAGCCAAAGGAGTTCTTCATGTGTTTGTTGGCTGCAAGTGTACTAGAACTAAGAGAAGTTGTTGGGTTTCATTAGTGGGAAAGAATGGCCACAGAGCACAACAACAATTGTCATCTATCATTTCTTTCTGGCAAAGAAGCAAATACCACACTGTATAGTTTTCCATTTTTTTTGCTGCACCCAAGACAATTAAAAACCATGTATGCCAGAACATTAGCATTATTAACCCATTTAACTGTGTTTCACTAAAAGCTAAAACTGAACCAATTTAGTATTCACAAAAACTGTAGTGCATAAGCAAATATAATTTATTTTTCCGTACCTCTGTCTCAGAGATGAGCTGGGTAATCTTCTTGCATGTGTAAAATGGAGCCATTTCAACATGGGCCACCCTCCAGTCAGCTCCCTTCGATGTTTCCAAAATCTTATCATGCTTCTTCAAAATCTTTCTGAAACCTGTGAAGTTCAGGTTCTGCAAAGACACAGATGTTTTTTTTCCATTAATACCTAGTCAGCTGCCTACTTGTTTTTTTTTTGCACTTTCATAAGAGGTGGCTCCAACAAATGTACAATCTCATTATTTCTGTGATCATCAACATAGTGAATGCCTGACTTATGAACCGACACCAAGGTTTAGCCTTTATATTGTCGTCACCATGTCCTTCATTGTTTCCCTGTGGTTGTGTCGCATACAAGTAATGTTGCTGGCCGGTAGGCCTGTCTGTCTTTTGGACTTCATTTGGAATTAAAAAACATGAATTTATGGAAGAACTTTATCATTCAAAGCTGTTCAGCTCTAACATAAACTTTTTACAACACTCAAATAATGTGCAAGGTGCTAATTTAGAATTCCCTATGGCAGCAACACTGCAAGAACAACTAAATGTTAGACAACAATAAGTAACAGTTACTATGAACCATCATGAGATGGTTAAGGTCTTTTTTTGAGCATTTCAATTATATGGCATCTACCTTTCAAGTGTCAACTCATTAACTGATCAATTAAATTAACCATTGGATATGACCTCGATGAAGTTTACTGTTAATCAGTAAATAAACCTTACAAGTACTTAATGTAGGTGTTTTTAAAAATATTTATCGACTAAAACAATCATAACATAAAATATCCCAAAAAACAAATGTAATTAACTTTGCTTTGATTATTTTGAAAACAGGAAAACTGAATAGAAATGGTATCATCTGTATACTCTTGAGATGAGAGTGTGTGTAAAGGTGCACCTGATAGTTCTGTAGCAGTATGAGGCTGAGGTAAAACTCTGAGAAGGCCAACTGCAGATCTTTTATATTTCTGTGTTTGCATCTCTCCTGCTGTGAAAGGGCAAATACCGTCTTCCTTCTTCTCAGGCCCCGCCCACTGACAGAGCTCTCCCTCTGGGCATCCAAGGACGATTGAAGCTCATTCTGCAGAGTTGCAAAACGCCGCTGAGCTTCAGCAAGCTTTTCTGAAAAGGAGTTTAAGAAATATATCACTAGGCTCAAGAGGCATGAACAACAGAACTGTAAGAATTTCGAATACACATGTTTCATTACGCATATGTAGTCTAACGCTACGTGTACAGTGTGGGTGTAAATACAAAAAAAAAAAAGAATCATAGATTACAATCACAATGTAAAAAGAAAAACTATATTAAAAAGATGTCAAATAATGTTTGCAATGTTATTATGCTAATTACAACCTCCTCAAGTTGGCACACAATATTTAAGCAGCATTGCTACAAACGGAAGTGGTAGCTGAAATGTAGAGCTCACAAGACATGCAGTTTCTGTTACACAAACACAAACTTTTAGTTTGCTTTTACCAAAGCGTTTTCTTTTCTTTTTTTAAGAGCTAAACACAAGGACTACTTTTTCATATTAACACTTTTGCAAGTACTGCCACAGCATTTTACAACTGTACCAAGTGGATAAATCTCATGTTTTCAAATTATACAAATTTCATGAAATATCAAGAGAGAGCAAGAACCTGTGTGTGTTTGAGTTGTGTGTGCTTACGAGAACAGAATAAAAAACAAAAATGAGACTATTTAGTCACATTGTAAAGGAAGAGATGAGGCTCGACTGTTCGATTAGATCTATCCGAGTTGGTGACACATTCCAATACGGTGGCAGTTCAGTGAAGGTAACACTAATGTATACAACATGCAGTTCAACACATTTACATACAATACTCCCAAAAGTTAGGGATGTTCGTATTTCGGGAGAAATATCTGGATAAACCTAGGATGCACTATAACCTTTACAGGAGACTTAATGTGACCACTAAAGTTTTGAATACACATGTGTAACCGTTTAACATTTCAGTAATTTTTGCACAACTTGCTGTTCTCTAATGTATATTCCATGTTAACATATTTACTAATAAAAGTTTAGTTATGGGCAGACAATTCACACACAAGTACTATATTGCTGAGACTTTGAGAGACATTTTCTTTTAATTTAAAAGTATAAGTTAAGTTTGGGTGTTTATATGCATTGTTTAAGGAGGAGTCGCTCTTTTCTAAATAATACAGCTGACAAAGCTCACCTCTTAATTTTCTTTTTTGCGGTCTTCTGTGTTACAGAATACATACAGAATATTTTCTTTTGTATTGTTATAGTTTTAAACTTTAATATAGTCACAACTACAGTGTATAGCAGTGGTATAACTAATTACCAGAATAGAAGGTGTTGATTTTGGCAAGCTCTTTTTCGCAGGTCTGGAAGAACTTCTCCTCAAATTTGGCATAGTACCTCTTGACTGTATCCTCATCTGTGACTGCAAGAAGGGAGAAGTTGCAAAAATAAAAATAAAAAATAAAATAAATAAAAAACAACTTTGAACATGAAATCAATTAAAGCAGACAGGGCAGTGTATGGCAGGGAAGAAAGAAAGCAGTGGCATAGTCTAGATAAATTACTATGCACTTGTATTACTGCTTACTGATGCAAAACTCTACTCTGTCCTCTTACCAGCAAAGAGCGCAGAAGCACTTCAACTGTTCATAAGCAATCTGAGGATATTTTTTTATCATTTTTTTATTACATTCCACAACCCCATGCATATTTACTGAATGTCATAGCAGAAACCAAGCTATTATCAAACAAATAAAAATCATAATATTCTTTATTTCTGTTACTCAAATCCTAAACAGAAAAGATAGTGAAAAAATAAATATGGACAGAATGTTGCACCATTTATGGTTAAGAGTATTCTGTTCAATGCAAACTTTCCAGGTCAAAGCACAAGTCAATTTGATGCATAGTGTTAAATGATCATTTGTGTGAGAACTGAGAAAGCAGATTTTTTAAAAACTTTGACTCATGTGACTATTTCAGGAGGAATACATTTTTTTTTCTTAACAAAGCTTACCAGCATTATAATTTTCTATAACCAGCAACATCTCAAGAGATGCAAAAATTTGTTTTTTGATTTCCAGTTTCCCCAAATGCATTTCAAATGTGTATGTCACCCCACAGATAAAACAACTACAACTGAGAATAGATCAAAGGAAATATTTTCTCTACAATTTCTACAAATTGGCGTGTTGTTCTCATCGAGCAATTGTTTTTTAATCTTATGTAGCATGCTCAAAGGTGCCCAAAAGGAAAGTATGGATCCAAATTCCTTTTTGGGGCGATGTGGACCTAAAATGCAAAGGAGATTAAAACTCCTATCTGCAACTTTGACCATAAGAGATGGTCAAATCATCTCTTATCAGGGAATGCAAGTCAAAAGTGACACCTTTCCCCCAGAAGACTTTGATGTAAAATGGAAAACAAGCACCAGTCACAACACAAAATAAAGTTTTACAAACTTTTGTTGCACCTTTAAAATAAGTCTTTAAGGTTTTCAGGGACAGTCCAGGCTTCTGTTTGACACCTTTTCCACAATATATGCCACCAAATAAAGGACAGAGAAATTCTAAAAATACCAAATGGTCCATGGAACATCAGTGCCATCTAGCAGTACCCTGCATTTAACTCTCATGGTCTGATAAAAATTAGCTTTTCAAACTATCTGTCTCACTTAATGGTAAACCTTGTTTTCCCTTTTCATCATGTTTGTCATATTGTTTACACAAAACAGTTAATATCTTTATATGGTGAAACCACTTGTTTTGTATTGGCAATGTCAAATCCCAATCTGCTCTTCAGGTACCATATTTTCTGTACTGTTTATTGTGCATCAGTCTTAATGACTTTCTTTGTAGTACATGAGGTATTCTATGTATTTCTCTTCTTGGTCATCATACCATAAGATGTTGAAAGAATATGTTTTCTGTATTCTTTGTATGTATATAACTATATGTATGTAATGTGAATTTATACCAACAGAAAATACCACAGAAATATTTCTTTATCTTACAAAACTTTCAGTTTTTAAAAGTTTCAAGTTTCCCTCTTCACACTCAGAACCATACAACTGAAAGTCTGCGATTGGTTGAATGTTGAACGCAAAAATAGGTCTTTGTGAGTGAAATCAGGATTACTACCAGAAGACAAGAGTTAAGCTCTACACTCTCTACACATTTTTAAGTTCTACCAAGAAGTTGCAGTAAAGAAAGCAAATGAAGAAATAAGAAAGAAACTTCCTGTTTTATGTTCTCTGCGCTGCATCTTGTCTTTTGTCACTCATTTTTCTATGTTTGTTACTTTCTCGCTGCAAAGCACCCATAATAATTTTTAATTTAAATATTTTTCTAGTTTGATAATTCCTGACCAAACTGGGATAACCTCATTGATATATGGTTCCCCTAGAACTTATTTCTAATCAAACCCAGCAAATGCAACTATTGTTTGTTCATGTTCATTTTAGTACAACATTTTGGACATCACATGATCGTTAGCTGGGCCACCAGAAGCATTGAAGACCCAACTGACTGAGTGAGCCAAATTTAAAAACCCAGAGGAAGCAGGGTTTAAGGACCTTCTGTGTCACTGTTGTGTGTAGCATGCTTGTGTGGATTATGGTGGGGTTTCCTTTATTAGCATTCCTGGGGAGAGATGTGAATTCAGAGGTCCAGATGTTGAACTCCCAACACCAGAAAGACGGCAAGACAGATGAAAAAATCTTTAATGTGGACCAAATGACTACATCTCTCATCTCAGGGTCC